TTATTTTGTTTGTTCTTTTTAAGACATTAAATTAGATTCTAAATGGGCAAAAAGTTGGTCCTTTCTTCAATGTGGTAAAAGTGAAATGGTCACGATCTCCAAAGCTGGTTTATATTTTTGGCAAACATAGCTATATATTTTTCAGATGTGCTTATGATGTCATTCCATTTAGAATGAAAATTCCAAGACTCCTACTATTTTCCCATAAAGGATCAAATAAAAAACTTGGAACCCAAGAATTCTCAGAAAACAATATTTACTACCAAGTCCCCACTTACATGTAGCAGAAATTTTCTAAAATATGCCCACTGCTTTGCTACAGAATTTAACCAAATTTTATTATAGAATTACCAGACACTGAATGTAAACCTATGCCATTCATAGCTTTCTTAAGAAGGGATTGGTAAACTATGGCCCATAGGCCAAATATGGCCCACTGCTCGTTTTTGTAAATAAAACTTTATTGGAATACAACCACATTCATCTGTTTATATAATGTCTGTAGCTGCTTTCCTGCTATAGCAGTAGGGGTGAGTTGTTGCAATAGAGATTATGACCTGACTTTGTACAGAAAAAGTTTGCTGACTCTCGTTCTAAAAAAATCCTTCAGTTAATCTTAATTGATTCAAATTATGCCTCAGGAACATCCTTAACACATGATTAAGTGATCACAGGAATGTTGCTTATCTTGTTTGGGCTTTGTTTTCTTAATCTGTAAGAGGAGAGATTTGTCTATTGCTTCCAATGTAGCCATTACTTCTCATTCTGATTCTCAGCAAATGAGTAGTTGCCTTAGTGAGGTCTGATTACTTCTGAATAGTTGAGACATCTGCACCTCTCATGAAATAAGAGAAGCATCGGCAGGGGCTCATGAGGAGACTCAAGTTCCAACTCCTTGATTTGCCCCTAACTGACCCAACCTTTTGTGCTTTGCTTCTGTAAAATGAAGAGGCTGGGCAGGTGAGAACTACGTTTCCTTAGAACAGATAATTGTGGTCCAGTGTGTGAAATGCCTCATGGAAAGCCACACTGGCTACTATGAAAGCCCAAGGAACAGCATCACAAACTGGATTTAGAGAGAAGAAAAGACTCAGATAAGGCTTCTTGGAGGAAATGATGCCTGACCTGAATCTTGAAGGATGAGGAGAAATTCTGCTGGAGAACAACTGACTAATAAAGCAAATAGGCATCTTATTGAAGCCATCATTTTATTTGGCTAATTTAAAAAAATGTGTCAGCATCTAAACCTCAGGGAATATCTCTCTGAATTCAAGCAGACTCTAATGTGTGCATTATACTCCGCTTCTAGATATATATCATGGAAGTTACACTGCCCTAAACCTTTTCACAATGTAGTCACTTTTTCTCTGGGAAAAAAAAAAATGTTTATTTATCTTGTTCATTCAGTTATCAAGGTCCCATCAAAGTCTTGAAAAAGGCATCAGCCACCAGATGCAGAAGTTGTGTGACTGACCACTGTATGGAACACCAAGACTTCTTGGCAAAGTGAAGATCAATCAGAGAGTTTAGACAAGGGGTCATTCCACAGCTGTAATCACAGTCAACAAGAGGTGAGATAACTCTTGACTTCAAATGACTTTGGCAGTGGGATTAGGCAACAGTGCTTAGGCAGCAGTCATTTTCATGTGGCTAAAGAATCCAAACAGCCACAACAATAGATTCGGAAGGGAGGAAAGTTATCTGAATTGACCTAACTATGCAATCTCAGCAATTATGATTCCCAAGTAATTGCTAGCTCTCCTACAATTCTATCTGTACTGTTGTTGTAAGTAGAGTTCATTCATGCATTCAACAAATTCTAGTGAGTACCAACTATGTACCAGCTCTTTGTATACAATGGGGATACAGCCATAAAAAAATGAGACAAAAACCCTTGACCCTGTGGAATCTACATTCTTGAGTGCCATCCTTGTATTGAGAAAAGTGCAATGAGTTTTAACTTCTATTTGATGGGACATATTGCTGCTTTGAACAGTCCCCAATGGACATTTTGCAAAAGAGTCTGAGCCAAACCTGAGCCATCCTTCCTCCTTTTCTCTCCGTCTTTTTCTCTGTCTTAGCAACACACAAGACAAGATAAAACCAAGACAGCCTGAAGTTTGTTCCTTAATGCACCCTCAGTATCAAGCCAAATGACACCTTAAGCCTCAAAACAGACACGTATGATTATATCAAGACCCTAAAGAATGCTCATAACCTTTGAACCACTTCTGGGAATCCTGACTAAGAAAATAGACCTAACCTTTGAAAAGAATTTAGATGCAAAAAATGTACATCACAGCTTCAATGAACCTAGCCTCACCCCAAGACAAATTAACTGTCCAACTAAAAATGAATATATAGGTAAATTATTATTTTTACAGTAGATGAAATAAGCAGATATTAAGAAATCTATGATAATGTGGGAAAATACTTACTATAAAATGTTAGGTAATTAAACAGAACAAAAAACCATATATTCAACATAACAAGCATGTATGAAAATTTAAGGAAAAAGATTTGATAGAAATTCTCTAAAACATTAATATTTAATACACTTAGATGTAATTATGAGTATTTTCTACTTTTGGTATTTTTCCATTTTTCATTAGAAAAAAATGTTTTTATAATTTAAAAAAATTTTTAAGAATAATTTTAAGCATAAATATAGTTTTTAAAAAGCAAGAATGAGGTCTCATTTATCCAACAAGTATAAAACAATTTATTAACATACCTGAAGCGCCTGAGATCTGGATTCGTACTGTCTGGGTTTGAACTCTGATTCCTCATTATTGTGTGACCTTGGGCAAGTAAGTTATTTAACCTTTTCTTGCTCCAGTTTCCCACCTGCAAAATGGGTGTGCCTACCTAAATGGGTTGGTATGAGGATGAGTAAATTATTTACTCAGAGTGTTTGGCACAGAGTGTAACACCCTGTAAGCACTCAAATAATAATAGATCAAACACTCCAGTGGCCTCAAAGAAAAAATTCAAACAAGAGGAAAGACAAACTTCAGGTCCTGATGCCTCAGGGACAAGTAACTCAGAGTTGTACTTCCAGTGGGCAATTTTCCCTCAGGCAGAACGAATCTCCAAGTCCTTTACTAATACTTTAAAATTTCCTCTGAAGAAGGACAGTATGTAGATATTTATTTTATGCATAATTATTCCTTTGGTTTTTTTTTTTTAATGCACTGGTCATAATTTATTGTGCAAAGTGCCTTTTGATTTCAAAAACAAGCCTAAACGTTATGTTAATCGGATTGTCACAAAACACTAATCATTAAGATGAAATGACCTCATAAAATATTGCTTATGTTGCCAACATACGGTACTTAATTTGAAGATAAAAATAATTGTTGATAAAAATCACATTTCTCTGTCAAATGTCTGTTCAAAAATCAGTGAAATAAAGAACTAATATCTTATCTCCTGTATCCAACATCCTTCTTTCTGTGCAAATTAAACCATCTAAATCTGAGTAAAATAAAATCTGTGTAAAATAAAGAATCTTGTTCACAATAGGCTTTGAGTAAATATTTGTTGAAAGGATACAGTTTAGTTCTTATTACTTGACAACATTTGCCTTTTTAAAAGAGTGAGAATTCGGTTAAGATTGCATAAATATTAAATCTCGACCAATAAAGAAGATTCAGAGGATAAGAGGGAATTAAGAAAGACAGTTTGAAATTTATCTCTGACACCTCTCGAAATGAGGCATCACTTTCTTTTTACGAGAGAGATTATGCCAGAGGCATTTTTATCCTAATTTCTAATCTAAACTTCCTAGATCTTTTGACCCTAGGAATCTTCTACTCAGAATAAGGCAGTGCTTCTTCGAGATTTCGATTTTGTTTGATAACCTTTCTCTGTTTATGGGCTCTGTTCTCTTCTTGCATGGAATATCCGACTACTCAAAATGGCTAAAAGGTCTTAAACTTCAGATTCACAGGCTCAGATTTGAATCTTAGCGGGCACCAGCTGTATTGTCTTTTTTCAGTCCCATAACCTTACTCAGCCTCAGTTTCTTTATAACGTGGACATAATAAATATCTCTCAGAAGGTTACAATAGAGTTAAGTGAGACCATAGATACTAAACGATTGGGCATGGTAGGCAATTTAACAATGTGTTCGTTCTTCCCTTTCCCTGTGAGACTTTACTGAGGCTGGACGGTCTTTCTCTGACATCCCTTGGTCTCTTTCCTGTCTTTCCTTCCCAGAGCAGAAGGCAAAGTTCTCCTGAACCCGGATTTTTTAAATCTAGAAGAACATTTTGCTCTAAGTTACCCACTCACAATTAAAGTCCCAGGGAAATTAGAAAGGCAGATGAATTGGTGGTGTGCTTGGTCGCTTTTGGGAGGGGCCTAAGAAGCCGGGACCCTCGCTTAAGTCAGTGGGATCTCACGATATTCTCTTCCCCATCTGTGAAGTCTGGATTTGGGCTCTACCCACCTTCCTCCTTAGACCTGCAAAGACTAAATCGATGAGAACCTCTGAGCTGAGTTTCCCTCGGGAGATGCCAAACGCGTAAGACTCTCCCAAGATCCCAGAACTGACCTGTCCCCACCCTGCAAGGAAAAGGTGAAGGAAGAAAGAGAAGCGGGACGGGGCGCGAGATGCCACAGGTAACCGCCGACTGCACGCAGTTAAGGAACAGTCCCGTCCAATAGATCTGCCCAACCTGAGCTTTCCAGCTCGCCTCCCGCCCGCAGGACCTCTTTCTCTCGAGCAGCCAGAGGATTTGGAGAGGCTGAGAGCGGATGAGGTCCGGGGAGTGAAGGTGGCATCTGTCCCGCGGCCGCTTGTCAACTCTCTAGTGTCCAGGCCCCGGCCCCTGCCCCGGCCCCCGCCAGATGCGCCCCGCAGGCTGGCCTGGCGTTTCTCACAGCGCTGCGCACTGCCTCCTTGGCATTCCTCGGTGCGCGCCCCACGCTGTGCGCCTGGACGCCGGGAGCAGGGCAGTGCGCTGCACTGGGCGCCCGCAGGGGAAAAACGCTACCTGTGGAAGTAATGTACGCAGAAGAGGCCCAGAAGCACCGTCCCAGGTGGCCCCAAGAGGGAGAGGGGCTGCCGAGCGAGGATCCCCGCGGGCACCGCGAAGGAAGGCAGCTCCTGCAGGAACCAGGCTGCGCGGGCTGGCAGGCGGGTAGCCGCGGGCTTCAGGCTCTCCGTGTGCTTCCCGTAGCCGGAGGGCTTCGCGACGTACAAGACCAGTGCCCCAAGGGCGACCAAAGTGGCGCTGCCTGCGAGCACTGGGCTCTGCTGGCACTGAACCTGCATCGCGCCGTGTTCCTCGCCGGTGGCCGCTGCCCTAGCAGAAGAGAGCGCGGCCCCCGCAATCCCTTTATGGAGCGCCAGACGCCACCCCATGTCCGCCCCCTCGGCCTTGGCTCCCGCCCCTCCATCCTGCCTCCCACCTCGGCGCGGCCAGCCCTGGCGCGGCTTCGCAGCAATACCCCTTTCTCAGGGATGTCGCCGCGGGGGGCGGGAGGAGAACGAAGGCCTTCTTAGTTCCACAAGGTGTCTGCGCCCTCGCGCCCGCCCTCTCCACCGCTTCACATTCATCTCCCCCTTAGGCTGTCCTTCGATGACTTGTTCCTCAATCCTCAGCCTCTGATGCGGCAACTTCTGGAACTAAGACACTGGAAGAAAACCCCACGGGGACGATTCAGCTGGTGTGGTTCTTCCGCCCCAACACACACCCCCTGTGCCGTCCGTCGCCACGCATCCCCACCCTCGAACACCCAAGCCAGGGTCTTTCCAAGTCCTCCCGTTCCTTATGCACCTTCACTCCCCTACAGCTCCCACCCAACAGCATATGATGTTCCTTGGACCCTGAACCATCCTGGCTCTCTGAGCGTCTGCCAGCCCCTCTGCTCTGGTCTGCTCTGGGGCGCCGCGCTCCTTAGCCACTCTCAGCATCAGTGCCAGCTCTGCCCCACCGCGCGCCCCCGGCAGGTACCAGTCTCTCCCGGCCCTAATTCCTCAGCGGTTTCTCTCTGCATCCCCGCACGCGTCCCTGAGCCGCCCGCCTGGGTCAGAGAGGAGCGTCCGCTGAGCTCGGGTGATCGTGCACAGATCGGGGCCAGAAGTTGAGATTCTGTCAGTCCTCCCCCGCCATCCCACTCCCGGTCCCCTAGAGTGGCCCAGACTCAGGCTAAAGTCTACGGCTTCTTTCCTGGGATGCCCTTTCCCAGCTCCTAGAGCCAACGAGCCGTGGCCCATAAGGTGGTGGCCTGGCGACTCTGCTTTTCTCTGAACTCCTGTCTAACCGTCATACACCCAGACGCCGTTCTTTTTCTCTTCTATTTCCCACCTTTATCTTATCCTCCAGCCCCGTCTTCTCCTACCTCTTCCGTTCTATGATTCAGCTTCCAGGCTTTCTTGGCTGCCTCCTCCTCTGTCTCCCATCCCTTCTTTTCTTCTCTCCCTTCTTTCTTCGACCTGGCTTTCTCCTTTAGGTCGACCTCCCCTTCCCACCTGCTGTTTACCTCATTCTTCCATCTTCGTGTCCCATCTCCCTTGATTACTTTATCCCTGTTTTCTCCTCCGGTCCTTACTTGGGGCTCCACCCTAGTCCTTCCCACTTTTCACTCTTCCCTTACTTTGGAGGTCTCTTCTCTTCCTTCTCCTTCAACTCAGGCCTCCCGGGAGTCCCATTCAATGTATCTCCATCCCCCTTCTGCTGCATCAGGCCGGCTGGTCCAATGACAGACACACTCCCTCATCTGCTCCAGTTTGGGGTGTCTCCTGATTCTTGGCACACATGGTATACGGTGATGCTTTAGCACTACAGGGCACCCTCTGCTTGCTGACCAAGAGTCGTTTATCATATTCCCATTGGGTTGTAATTAATGCTAATCATGCTTCAGTTTTTAATTGATCACCACTTAGGAATCACTCATACTGAGCGAAGCGTGTTTCATGGAATAACCAGGTGTTAGCCATCACAGCTGTTTCAAGCTTGTTTTGCACTGGCTTTAGAGTGCAAGTCCAGTCCCAGCTTCCTCAGGTACAACCTGCTTGTTGAAGACGCCCAAATCTAGATCTCCAGCAAAGATATGAGCTTTAGCTCTGCCTTTTCTCTCTTCTGTAAAACTCCACTTAAATATCTATCAGAGACCTCAAAACCAGCCCTACCCAAAACTAAACCCAGTTATTTTTCCCTCCACCCACTTGGACCCAAATTCTCCTTCTATATTCCTGAGTGTTACCTCTTCCCTGTCCTCAGTTGCCACAGCATCCCTAGGAAGCTGGCTCATAGACTCAGGAAACAATAGATTTCATGATACCATACAGCATTAAGAGAACAGGCAGTGTGATATTTCAAACCCAGCTCAATGGAATAATTTTTTTAAATGAAATGTTTTCTGTCTTAATTTCTTCCTCTCTTTTCTTCTAACTCTACCCAATTTTTGTCCTCATGATCTTTTCTCCACTCTCATAACAATTAGTTTGATAAAACCAGTCATCTTCAGCTTATGCATCTGTGGGTTGGCTGTAGGTCAGAAATATGGGCTGGGCTTGACTTATCTTGACAGTTTTCACTCATTCATCTATGTAACAACTTAGAGTCCAGCCCCAGGCTGTGTTTGGATGGAGAAACTTAGCTGAGGCTGTTATCCTGGAATGAGTGAGCTAGATCCACCATGTCTATATAATGTTAATAACAAAAACACAAGAGTAGAAGAAACACACAAGGCCTCTTGAGGCTCAGGCCAAGAACAAGCACACCCTTACTTTCTATTTATTGTATTGGCCAAATCAAGTCATATGGCGGATTCTAGAGTCAGAGTGAGAGAGTATTTGTAAAGTCACATGGTAAAGGGCAGGGATATAGGGGGAGGTAGAAAATTGGAACCAATAATGCAACTGTTCTGTATTACATGCAAGAAGAAAGTGCCCAAATTATAAATATACAGCTCAGTTGATTTGTACAAACTGAACACCCTCTTGCAAGCTGCACCTAGGTCAAGAAACAGATTATCAGCATACCAGGATCTGTGCTCCTGCCTCCTTACATCCTCCTTCTAGAAAACAACAACAACAACAAAAAAACTACACTGACTTCTAATACCATAAATTAGTTTTGTCTGCTTTTGAATTTCATGTAAATGGAATCATACAGTACTTACTCTTTGTATGTATTTTAATGGTACCTGGGTTTTATTTTAATCAGTGTGGTAACATATGCAGACACAGAAATGACTATCACGAAGGAAAAGGTTTATATCGACAGATCCCTACAAACAGGAGACACAGCACACCACCCAAGATCACATGGGGAAGCACCAGTGTTAGGAGGCAGCCGGAGTGAGGGGTCAAGGTGGGCAAGAGCCTTTACTATGGTTTCTGCAGGAAAGAGTGGGCATGACAATGTAACCAGGCTTAGGATTAGCTAGTTTGAATCTTTTAGCAGGCTCTGGGGTAGAGGGGCTGTCTTTAGTTTTCTGTTACCTGGACCTGGCTGATTAGGGCAGAAGAATAGTGACCCAGGGTGTAGAGTTCTGATAAAGGAAGTGGTTGGGGAATGTATGAGCCCTGAATTAGTTGGTTTGCATATGAAAAATGTCTTAGGGTCATTTACAATCTCCAGGAAACAGCTAGCTGGGAGATCCCAGAAGGTCATGGTTTAGTGGTAGAAATGATCTATAGAATATTATTAGAATTAGGTAGAATAAAAGCTATCTCCTTAACAAAACATAAAATCAATCCCCCAAAGGATCAAGATAACTCACAAGTAACCTAACACAGTCCAACACTGTTTAAAGGAAGTCAATTAAGTACAGACAAGTAAAAATATAGCCTTTACAATATCCAGCATTCCTAAAATTACTAGGCATGTTACATCAACTTTTGACAACAATTACTAGAGTTGAGCCAAACTTCAAAAGTTAAGGACATGGTCCTCCATGACACCGTCCTTACTTCAGACATCAGCTACAAGTTCAAGGTTATGTAAGCCACCTATACTTCTAAACAGTTGGCTACTGTATTTAGGAATCCCACTAACACTTCAAACTTGATAACTTACTAAAAAAAATTAAAGAACTCTGGAAAGCACTATATTATGACTACAGTTTTATTATAGCAAAAATACACAAATAAGAACTAGCCAAAAGAGGAGATGTACAGTACTATGGGAGGTAGAGCAAGATGGTGGAATAGAAGCCTCCACTGATTATTCCCCCAACAAGGACTCCAATCTAACAACTATCTATGCAAGCAAAGCCCCTTCACAAGAACCAAAACTCAGGTGAGCACTTGCAGTACCTGCTTTTAACTTTGTGTGGCTGAAAGAGGCACTGAAAAGATTGTGGAAGGAGTCTTGAGTCACTGAAGGCACCGCTCCATCACACCCTGGCAGCTGTGGTGTGGTGCAAAGAGCATTTTCGTGCCCTGGGTGAGGGAGAACACATCCATCGTGAGGCATTAAACTCAGTGTTATCCTGTTACAGCAAAAAGGAAAGCCAGACAAAGCTCAGCTGATGCCCACACATAAAGGAAGCATTCGAACCAGTCCCAGCCAAAGGAGAATCACTAATTCCAGCAGTCAGAATTTCAGTTCCCATAAACCTCACCACTGAAGGCTGAAGTGCTCTGGGTCTCTAACTAAACTTGAAAGGCAGTTTAGCCCAAAAGAACTGCAATTCTTAGACAAGTCCTAGTACTGAATTAGGGCCAGAGACAGTGGACTGGGGGGCACAAAATATACTGAGACACCAGCTGGGGCAGCCAAGGGAGTGCTGGCATCACCCCTCCCCAACCCCAGGCTGCACAACTCACAGCTCTAAAAGAGACCCCTTCCTGCTGCTTGAGGAGAGGAGAGGAAAGGGTTGGGGAGGACTCTGTCTTGCATCTTGGAAAGCAGCTCAGTCACAACAGATATGGCACCAGTCAGAATCATGAGGTCCCTGTTCCAGGCCCTAGCTTCCAGGTGACATTCCTAGAAACACCCTGGGCCAGAAAGGAAGCCACTGCTTTGAAGGGAAAGACCCGGTTGTGGCAGCATTCATCACCTGCTAGCTGAAAAGCCTTTTGGCTCTGAATAACCAGCAGTGATACCCAGATACTACATCAAGGGCCTTGGGTGACCCTCTGAGACTAGCTGGCTTCAGGTACTGGCTCAGCTACAGGGAGGTAAAGCAACAAGCAAGCTCTTGGGGTCCTTGATTCCAATAGTTGACTCTTCGACAGCATTTCTAGACCTTTCCTAAGCCACAGGGAAGCCCACTGCCCCAAAGAGTGAGTCCTAGACCAGGCAGCATTCACCACAGGCTGACTTAATAGCCTTTCTGCCTTAAAGGAACACCAGTGATAATCCAGCAGTACTTCTTGTGGGCCATGGAGTGAGGCTCCTCTGCCTTTGGAAAGGGGAGGAAAGAGTGGGAAAGACTGTGTTTTGTGGTTTGAGTGCCAGCTCA